AGGGAAGATGTTCGACGGATGTACCCTTTCATGCAGAAGAACGTATTTGACCTTCTGCGAGAATCTGGATACTTACACATCCAAGCCACCAAACCAGACACTGCAGGTAATGAACCCTCCCCTTGTTGCTATATATTGTATACCAACTGCCAATGGTGTAAAAAAAAAACCTCATCATTGAGGAATGGCTTACTGTGTTTCAGAAGCAATACATTCTGATGAATGACTGCAAGGTATAGGACTAAGATCTAAAAGTTAGAATGGAGCAGCTTGTAAAAGGTGGACTCTGCAAATATCACTTTCCAAACTGTTTAAAGTATGCTGCTACTTTTGGGAAAAGAACTCCTTTGCAGAATACTCTCAAAGTGAAGCACAGAGTCTTAAAACTGAAGCTTCTAGAAATACAAACAAGTGAAAACAAGAAAAAAGATTGTAAGCGAGTGCAATGTGAACGTTGCTGAAAGGCAGACTCAGGCCTAAATCTTAGAAGGCAGAAGCCTGACAGTCAGTGGTACCAGTGTGTAAGAATGATGGCCATCTCAGAAAAGTTAAATGTTTGTGTTTTGTTTTTTTTTTTAATTGGTTCCCATTAGGTAAGGACTATAAGATATCCTGTCTTGAGATAAACTCTCATCCAAAATGGCAGTAGAACTACTTCCAACTGATGTCGCTAACAGAGACTACAAAATGAATAGCGCCTCAGCCTAGCCCTTCATTGAAAAATTCAGCATTTTGGTATGAGTTTCTGCTAAATAACACCTAGTCTGTTGCTTGAACTCATCACAGCACTGAAGAAATAAAAAGCAGGATGCAAGATAGGGTTGAGTTTATTTGTTTGGATTTTTGTTTATTTCTTTTAGTCAGAAAGAAGGCCACGGCCTGACATCTCTGCTTGGAGACCAGGCTCGCTGAGGCACAAATAGAGGTGAAGTTGCAAGCCTTTTCAAATGACAGTGTGTTAGACTAGGCAACTTGAGGAGAGTATTCCCAACCTTAAGAAACTAAATTGACTTCCTAGATGTACAGCATAAGCAGATACTTTGAGCAGTAACCACTAGATGTGATCCAGCTGGAGGTTCACACTGCACAGCCAGGGAAGAGGCTAAGATTATTCTCAGTTAAGTGGCAGCTCTGAAATTGCTCTGAAGTCATTCTGTTTGGCTTCCTGACTACTAAAAGGCTAACTTTAGATTAGAAAAAGAAATCAAACTGAAACTTACAGAACTGCTAAAGTAAAGCCAGATGGCTTTTACACCAGTTAGCTTCAGGGAGGGATATTTTTTTTTTTGACTGTGTGTTTGGTTTTCCCTTGTATAGGAATGCTTTTTCTTTGTCCTTTTTAGATTGCAGAGTAATCCTTTTGTGTACATTTAAAACATTCTAATTTCATTTCATTTTCTTGATTGTTTTATCCTAATGCCTACAATTATTTTAAAAATGCACACCAGAAATAGCTGGAAACGAATAATTAGACATGCATGCTTTTAAGGGATCTTTGATTTAGAAAGTGCTCCTTTTGCTGGTGTTTCTATTTCAGCAGGTTCACTGTTCCCTACTTTTCAATATGCAATCAGAAAGACACGCTAAAGCTGAGGCTTACGTCAGTGTTATAATGCCAGCTTTCACTATAATTCATATACTTTCCTGATAGTCAGTCAAACAACATAAATTACACTCAATCTTGATTTCTGATTCTGAATTATCTCTTCCAAAGTATGATATTGAGTTTGATGTGCTGCACCCATAAAAGCACAGTGCATGTGACTGTTGTGTGAATTGCCATTCCACAAATGATTACTACTTTGATCGAAGTATAGCTGTGTCAACCTCTTTAAACCTGTTGTCAGTATGAATAAACAAACTCAAAATGTTTGTCTTAAAGTGACAGCACTTTAAGGCAGCCTGCAATCAAACCTGCATATTTAAAAGGACAAAGCAGTAAGCAATGAAAGGCTAACTTATAACCTTCAGTAAGTTGGTAAAAACATGCAATTAAATTCAAATCCAGCTTTTCATTACACAAAAAAGAAGACTATTCAATGTAGATTTACTGCTTACTTAAACAGAAGGACTCCCAGGTGTTAAGCAACCATTTTCCTCAAATACATTTTTTTATATCAACTTTTAAACTAGCTCCACAAATGCTTCATTTTAAACGATAAGTAATAGCAGAGATCAGCCAATCTTTCTGTACAACTTAGCATACAAAAGTAAGTTGATGTCATAGAATCTTTTTTAAGAGCCAGATGGAGAATTAGCTCAGGAAACAATGCAAACCAGTATGTATAGTCACTGTAAGATAGCAGAGTTATTTCATAGAAAAGAAAATATTTCCCCATGATATTACCACCTGTAAATGCTTCACAAATCAGAGCTTTGGTGGAAGCTAAGAGCAGTGGATCCATTAATGTAAAGTGTTTCAGTTTCTAAACAAAGTTTTGCTGAGGTTTCTCCTCTGATGTTCCCCAAAAAACAAAAGTGCCTTAAGAAAAGGATTAAGTTCCCGAATTAATAACTGGTTAAAATGGAGATCTAAGCATGGGAATAAGCAAGCCAGTTCCAGGAGAAGGGTGATTATAACAAAAAAAATCTGTGTTGGCACATTTCAGCGTGATCCTAATTTCTCTACAGAGAAAAGTTAATTGTTAATTGAAAAGCTGACCGTTATCCAAGGTTCGGTTTAATCTAAAGATAACTGCACAGAGTTGCAAAAACATTTAATTGACTTGCTGATTGAACTGGCCTATAAAATTTGATGTCAACAAAGTGCAAAGCAATTAGGGGAAGAAAACCACAGCTCTAGTTTGGCTGCTGCCATGGGGAAAACCATGAGTCATGGCTAGTTCTTTGAAATGCAGCCAGATCAGTCAGAGTTCAAGAGCATTTTACTGTCTGTCCAAGCAAAAAGAGACTAAGAAAAAGAAAAAAAGGTATTTGGAATTCATTGCATCCCTGTTGACCCTGCTTATGTTTTAGAATACAGAAAGGAGCAAAAAGGAATATTGAAATGATCGGGCAGCTTCCATACAAACACTGTATACGATCTAGGATTTTGACCTGATGAGGAAGGAAAAAAAAAACAACAAAAATAGGGACTTGGGAGCACAGTGGAAGAGTGTGATGTAGAAAAAGAATAGGAAACTTTCCTGCTTTCCAATAGCAGGAAAAGATAATGCAGTACTCCATTCTTTAGATCATGTAAAAGGTGATGAACTTCAAAGTATTACAATGCCATGCAAGTATAAGAGCTCTGCTGTTCTTCACTTGCATTAGGTTGTGGACTGAATGACTCCCCTGTGGGGCTTGCTGCATATATTTTGGAGAAATTCTCTACGTGGACAGATAAATCATTCCTGCGTAAAGATGACGGAGGCTTGGAAAGGTAAGAAAACAAACATCATTCTGTGAGAAAACTTGTTTAAAAAAAACCAAACAAACTGATGAGGAGATGGACAAAAGGCTGGCCAGTGGAAGCTGAATTTTAAGGATGAAAGATTACAAGTAGATAAGTAGAAGTTTAAGCTTACAGTAGACTGCCTGCAAGCTACTGATTCAGTACTAGGAAGCTTTGCTTCAGGCACATGAATGTAATTTGATTTGCTGCTTGAAAATCAGTGGAGAACCAGAAGACCAATAGCTTATCAGAGCACAAGCCCAATATAGTATGTTGAGAAACAGCTCAGTTACATTGAATCTTTTTTTCTCCCGCTAGCAAGTATTCTCTGGATGACCTTTTGACCAATGTGATGATTTACTGGGTGACAGCATCTATTGTGCCCTCAATGCGATATTACAAGGAGAACTTTGGCCGGGACCCTGGCCTTACTGCTGATTCCAGGTAATGAAGTGTACAAGACAGATTTCGAAACAAGACTGAATCAGACCTGCCTGTACAAGTGTTTAGATCACTTGCAAATTTAATCTATACTAGGAAAAAGAAAGGCCAAACTGTAATCTTCAATCAATATAGTTAAGGGTAGCTTTTCTTTTAAACCTGTGATTCACACAAATTGGTCTGTTGCCGAAACAATGCAGAACATTTAGCAAAAGTAATTCAGATCTGTGTTCAAGATACAGCTGGTCTATAGACTTACTAGACAAACAACTGTAATCCATGGCTTTGTTCACTAAAACCAAAACAGAAAATCACAAGCGTTCCTAGCAAGTTTAAACAGTTAGGAAGGATGCAATTTACATGTGAACAAACTATGAGCTACAGCTGTTAAGCAAAAACTTGTAGAAGCAGTGTAAGAAGTGACTCACAAAGAGAGGCTGACCAGGAAGCACTGGTGGGCAAGGCTCCTCAGCAAGTGACTGATCATATAAGAGAAAAAAGAAATCTTATTCTTTGTAAACTGCACTAATTCACCTTCCCTCTCAATAGGGATTATAGTGGTACCAGAAATTCTAGAGCAAATATAAGCTAGCTTGCTTGAGTTTCACACGGAGGTGTGGCTCCACATTACAAAGCGTAAAAGCCTGAACTCTGTGCAAAGTGGGCTTCATTTTATGCATCTTCAGATATAACACTTTTGAAGTCAAGGAGATTCAAACACCAATGAAACTCCTCAGCAGAGTACAGATATGAAAAGAGTTGCTGTGGTGAAGTTTCTTCAACTCATATAAAAGCTATGAGTCAGAAGGTTTTTAAATTACTTTCTTCAGAAGTTCATCTTAAAAATACTGTTAACTAATATCTTTTTAGGGTTGGAGTATATGTTCCAACAGCCATTGCAGCTTTTCCCGAGGAGATAGCCCATACACCACAGGTCTGGGCAAAGAATACCTACAAGAACGTTGTCCATTACTCTTACATGCCCCGTGGAGGGCATTTTGCTGCCTTTGAGGAACCGAAGCTGCTGGCACAAGACATCTTCCACTTTGTGAGAAAGGTGGAGAAGCTGTGAACCTGCAGTTTAGATACATGTATAGAATGGAAGCAAGTTGTTCTACTATCACAGAATTTAAGGGATTAAATAAGCTCAATACAATCACAACACGGAAGCCAGCATTTTATTTTGATAATAATGATTATAACTAATAAACTTGTTCAAACTCTAGAACTCTTCATAAAAAAAAAAAGAGCATCTTGTCTCTTATTCCTGGCACCATATCGTTGCTGCATTCATAATTCAAGTATAATGGAATATGTAAACCACTTAATGTAGTAACATTGCACTCATCTGAAGGAGAGAGCAGAAAGGAATGGCCCCTTGTTCCTCAGACCTCCAGCTTCTGTTCAAAAGCTTCTTTAAATACTGAAGTGCTAGCATTCTTAAATACATGCTTCAAGCAGCTTTGGTGGAAATGTAAAGGGCTTAGATGTCCTGAGAATATCAAACACTCCCATTAAACAGTTTGAGTTATATTTCATTTGAGAGACCAGTGATTACATTCTCAAGTGAGCAGCTCCACATAAGGCAGCTCTCTTTATTTTAGCAGTTCTTTCCCAGAGCTAGTTTTAGCAGTTGCTCGCTGTCAAGCAAGGCAAAAATGGCATCTGTAGTGTTCTCTAAGCTTAAAAAAAAAGATTTCCTTCCAGTTTTACAATCTTATTCACTGCTAAAATGTCAGAAAAGCTTAAAACGTGCACTGAGTACAGGGGGTTAATTCACCTTCTAACAACCTCCTTCCAAAGGATTTTTATCACCCCATCGATCAGCTTCTGTTAGCATGTAGTAAGCAACCTTACTACCAACAGCCTAAAGATTCTCTTCTTATGGATGGAGCCATTTAATTCATTCCATGATAGACACATATCCAGCTGATCCAAGACAACTCCAGCAGATATCCAGTTCTGGCACTAGTTTCTCCTCCCCGTCCCTAAAGCAAGATATTTTTATTTTCTGTTAAGTGGGAATAAGCTGCCACATTGAGGCAGGAGTCCTAACTTCCTGCGAAGGAGAGAATAAACTGCTTTTCCTAGTTTTAATTGTATACCAAACTGATTGTCAGGTCTGATGGACTAAAAGTTAGTAAAGGAATAGGAAGATGTGTTCTGTTGCTTTCACAGGACGACTCAGCCTCATTTCATCACCAGTATAAGACACTGCTAGGCATGAAGTCTTCCAGTTGCTGAAGAGTGCCATGCTGGATTCCTAACAAACTGAAATGGTGTTATGGGAAGAAAGATATTATCTACTAGATGGGCAAGCACCTGAGTACTCAAGTCTGAGTAGGCTGCAGGAAAAGGTCTTCTTTCACAGCAGTGGGGTAAAGAATGGTTATGGCCTTTACAGTAAAAGGCCAACTATATTAATAATCATATACGTTATCTTGTCCCAAACAATCATATAATGCAGTAATCATTAACAGAAATGGCTGCAGTAAAACTCAGGAGAGTAAAACTCAGGAAGACTGCAATATTTGTCAGTTCAGCAAGCGTGTCACAGGGAAGTCTTTACACCCAATATATCAATTAATTTCCTTAAGGAATCATGGTAGCTGTATGCAGCTGTGCCTTAAAGGGCTTTTGCTTTCAAAGACAAGTCATGAGGTGAACACAGAAGAAGGTGGTCAGGAAGGCAACTGATGCCCTAGAGAAGAGATCCAGAGAGACAAGTGTATGCCATTACCTCTGATAGAATTATTGCCTAAAGCAGCACCAAAAATTATTCAGTATCCCATTAAAGTTCTACAGGGCACAGATCATTCATGAAAGCCCTTAAGTGTCACTGGTGCTTGAAACCATACGTAGTCCTCCCAAGCAGAAGTCATAATCTGAGGAGCTGAGGCACTTATATCGACATCTCCATCGCAGGACAAATTAATAGTCAGTTTCTTTCCTCTGGTTGGCACTTTGTAGTTGAGCTTGGGCCGAAACCACTCCACACCACAGTTGCGATGCCCTTGGAGCATAACAACAGTGCTTGTGACTGGAAGAGCTTTAAGTTCACTGAAGACATCTGCAATGAAGAGCGAGTGAAAAAGCTTACGCACGCAGGATGTGGTTTTCAGGCTTTTCTCAGCACTGCCCACACAGATCCCTTCTAAGTTGAGCTCATAAAGCTCCTTGGGGCTCACAACATTGCCTCCAAGCAGAATAAGAACACGGGGAACCAGTGTCAAGCTGAACATCACTTCCAGGTGCTGGAGCACTGCCTCCAGTTCCACCAGCACCTGCTGGCACTTCTTGCTTGCTAAGCCCACAGAAGGTGGCTTCTTGATCATATCTCCATCCTGGAAACCACAAAAAAAGAGACATTAATATACGAACAAAAAATTGCAGAGGGTCCCAAATTCACTCTTCAACTATGGTCGTCAACTATGACACATCCCCTCCTTAAGACTCGATGAACACATAGAAGACAATCTATCAACATTTGCAATTAGAGCTTTTGGGTTTCTAGGTGATGTGTTAGAAAACGAGTGAAGGCGGTAGGATAGTTCACTGGCAGACAGAAACCAGCGTTAAGCCCCTACACCGGCAGCCCCAGGCCGACTTTTAAACGGGCCACCCACCCGCCCCCCCCAAGGCTCAGCCGCCCGCCCACCTGCGTGGCCCGCCGGCAGAAGTAGGCGAGCTGTTCGTAGGGCAGCGGCAGCTGGTGCCGCTGGTGCAGGACGTGCTTCAGGAGCTCGCAGGCAAAGCGGCAGCAGCTCTCTCGGCTCACGGCGCCCGGGAACACCACGGACACGGCGGGGCTGAACGCCGCAGGCGTGCTCCGCCGGGACTTCCTCCCACGGCCACGCTCCGGGGCTAGCGGCGTCTCTACCATAAGAAGCGGGGAGGTCTGAGAACCCGGAGCCGCCATCGCACCAGGCGACTCCGTTTCCCCCAGGGCAGCCATTTTCTAGGCGGCGGCAGCAGCTGCCCGCTGGAATTTGAATGGCTGCCGCCGCGGGGCACCATGGGAGCAGCGGAACGTCCGTCCTGTGGCTTCCGGAGAGCGTGGGCGCCATGTTGGATGGGGCGGGCACTAGGAGTCAGCCCTTGGGGAGTAGAGGGGAGCCCCCCAGCGGCCGCATCAGCGGCGTTTTTCCCTTGCATCCCAGAGCCCGCCCAGAGGGCGGACGCAGCGCTGCAGGGAGGGGAAAAAAGCGGTGGTGAGAGAGCCGTACACGGCCGAGGCTGTGTGCGAGGCCTCAGCGAGGCGGAGGCTGGCACCGGGCCCCGTGGCTGGCGGGGGAGCGGCCGTGTTTGGAAACAACGTGGCCGCAGCCCCATTGGGCGCAGTCTCCCACGCACCGCGGGGGGGCGGGGGGGGGGCGGTGCCAGGAGCGTGGAAGTTGACATAGGCGGACCGACCGTCGCCGGCTCTGGTGGTGCGGCGGAGAATCGCGAGGCTTGCTGCTGTTGGCGGAGGCGGACAGGGGGGCACGGCGCTTGGCGCGTTCTTGCCTCGAGCCGAGCGCTTCTGTCGTGAGCCCCTGTCGGCAGGGGGTTGCGATATCTGCGTGGATAGTTCTATGCGCCGTGCTGTTTCTCTGCCTTTATTGGAAGTTTCTGATATCGGAAATGCTTAAAAGCACTTCGGCTTCCCACCCCCTGTGCCAATCGCCGTGTGCCCCAGCTCGCTGTCCCAGAACAGAGGGCACCGGGGCGGCGCCCTCGAGCTGCCGGGCACCCCGCACTCCGAGCTCCAGGGCCGCCGGGGGGCGCCGCCCGCACGGAACTCCAACTCCCATCCGCCCTTGCGGAGGCAGTCCATAGAGAACGGCGCGGGGCGCGCCGAGGGGCACGCCGGGAGCGGCAGTTCCGAGAGAGGCGAGGCGCAGTGCGTGCCGGGAATTGTAGGCGGGCGGCGCCGCGGACTCCGTTTCCCGTGGTGCCGCGCGGCGGCTTCGCTGACGGCGGGGGCCGGGGCGGCGGGGGGCCCGGGCTGGGAAAGGGTGCCGCACCGGGGCGGCGGGGCCGCGCCGGCCGCTATGGATTCGCGGGTGTCGGAGCTGTTCGGGGGCTGCTGTAGGCCGACGGGCGCGGCGTTTCGCGGACGCGGAGGGGCCGCGCCCGGCGGCGGCGGCGGCGGCTCGAAGGCGAAAAAGAAGAGCGGGCGGAGCCGGGGGGGCAAGGCCAACAACCCGCCGTACCTGCCGCCTGAGGTGAGCCGACTGTCGGCGGCCGCGGAGGGGACGCCCTGGGGCCTGCGAAGGGGCCCGGAGAGATGGGTGGGGGGGGCGGCTTTGTGCGCGGCGGGGCCGGAGCGGAGATGCGGATGAGGTCGGGGCAGCGCCGGCGGGGGCTCCACCAGCTGCCGGGCTCCCGAGCGCCGCTCGGCACGTCCTGGTGACGGCCCTCCCGGCTCCGTGAGCCGATGTTTTCCGTCGTGGTGATGCGGCGGGTGCTGGCGGGCTCCGAGGGAGCGTTCTCGTTTTTGATGTTTGTCTCCTGCAGCAGGAAAAACTGACGGTGTTACTTGAAGGGTGTGTGGGTTAGTTCAGATGGTTGGCACGGCTCTGAGGAAACTGCTGCTGTGGATGGAGAGCATTATTACATTGAGAAGATTGCTCAGCCCTGCTGGGCGAGCTCTCAGTAAGTTATCCGAGTCTGTGCTGGGAAGGGGCAGCCCCCACACCGGGCTGTGGTTCCCGTCGAGGAGAGAACGTAGAGCTCAGCTGTGTGAGACCCTGTCCGAGGGTAGGAGCGTCCCCCGCAGCTGCAGTTCAGTTTTGGTTCTCTTCAGCTGGAGGCTGTGCAGCCCCTGTGGTTTCAGCACGGCTTCCTGTCCGTGGCCACCCTGTGCAGCATGTAGTCCACACAGCCTTGTGTGTTGCTTTTCTCTAGGCTGAACTGCTTCAGAAGAGACCTACCCCCTTGTTTAGAGGACAGCACAGAATGTGAACGCGATGTTTTTCTTAAATGGCAAAAGAATAAAGCCTCCTGCACGTATCCTTCCCTCACTGCATAGCTCTGCTGCCCGAGTGCCGAGCTGGCAGCGTGGAACTTCCCTCTGTTGGCCTTCTGCCACCATAAGCTCCTCTGTGGTTAGAAACTCAGCTAGAAGGCAGGGAGAGGGCTGTTGCCTCTCTTGACATGCAAATTGGTGTCCAGAGGAAAAGCAAGTGCTTAGAGTTGGCAGCTCAGCTTAGTCTGCCTGAGTACATGGCTTCTTGCAGTCCTTTCTCAGTGGCCGTCCTTTCTCAGTGGCCCTTAGACCAAATGGGTGCAGAAGTTACTTCAGTGTTGACTAGATGTTCCCTTTGGAAGTTAGAGCCTGTTGTGATCAATGACTTTATGGGCCTTTCTGGTTTAGGCTCTCATACAACTTGGTCTGTTTTCAGCCCTTCTTGGGGAAATTCTTCGAAGAACATTGTGCGCTTACAGTCTCAATCACATCTGGTTCTCCAGCGCAGTCACCAGTTTGCTGTATTGCAAGGGAGTCCATGATTTGCATCCTTATATCTGTGGTCCTTCTGTCTTGAAGGGTAGATATATAAGGATATGGGAAGGAGTCAGTGGAAAAATAATTGAGTGAGAGAAAAGGGTATCAATGCATGGAGAGAAGAAACAATGACTTTTGTTCCTATTCCCTTCTTTCTGTGTACACTGGGTGGGCAGAAACTGCTGGACATAGTAGGAATGGGATGGTGTAGTTTGCATTGTGGGATGTGGCTTTTTTTGAAACTGGAACTGTGTGGCTGGCCCTCTTTTTTGCAAACAATTAAAAAAGCAAAACAAAACAAAACAAAAAAAAAAAAAAAACAACAAGGCAGCACTATTCCCCTGTGTCATATTCTAGTTTTATCCCTTGTTTTTCATAATATGTGATGCAAACAGCAAAAGAAGCCTGAAGTAAGTTCTAGTTGAGTGTAGGAATGAGCAGCAGAATGGGCTGTAACCTAACACAATATATTTCTGCAGTTTTCCCTTTCTGAAATTGTCAGTGCAAGCTGTGGAATATCTTTTCAGCTGATGCCTATAGAAGTCCCTTCTGGCACAGCATCTAACCCTTCTGTTTTGTTTTGTTTTGTTCTCTGACCAGGCAGAAGATGGTAACATCGAGTACAAGGTGAGCATTTTGTGGGTGTAGGTGGGTTTCTTCTCAGAGCTCTCTCACAGCAAATAACTTCAGGAAAGACAGTGTATGGGGAATGTGCCCAAGGGGACAGAAGAACAGACACTGTACTAAGGAAGGAACAATCAGCCATCTTCTGAGTACACAGAGATACCCAGTGTTCTCAGCTGGAAGAGTTTGAGCTCGTCACTCATTTTAGGAATCTGTTTTAGGAGACAGGACCCCCTGGTTTTCCTGAAATCTTCACATTGACAGCTGTAGGTGTCCCCAATAATCATTTATCACTCAGTTTGTAGCTGTTCTGCCAATCATGGTTACTTGGCTCATTTATCACAAATAGGTCCCATGGAGCTGTCTTTTTACCCCCACAGCAGGCAGGGTGCAGATCCCTTTGGGAAAGTGAAGAAATGTTCTACTCCCATATGCAGGCATCCCTGTGAAACACTCTCTCACCTATCCCATGGTTTCTGTTTAGATTCTAACATGGGGTGTGTTTTCCAGAGGTGGGTCAGAGCAGGGGGCATTGCTTCACCGCATTGATTTAGAGAGCTGCTGGTTTGGGCACTGGCATTACTTGCAGGCTGTGACTGTAACTCTTCCCTCTTAAACAGCTAAAGCTGGTGAATCCCTCTCAATACCGCTTTGAGCACCTGGTGACACAAATGAAGTGGCGACTACAGGAAGGCCGTGGTGAGGCTGTCTACCAGATTGGGGTGGAGGACAATGGGCTGCTGGTGGGCCTCTCGGAGGAGGAGATGCGTGCCTCACTCAAGACCCTGCGTCGCATGGCAGAGAAGTACGTGTTCACTTTTGTCTGAGGGACCTGTAGGCTTAAAAAGCCTCTGGTACAAGAGAGACTTCGCTCCAGGAGTTCCCAGAGTAGCTGGTGGCATCGCTCCATGGTGCTTGTGTATGACTAAACTTTTGTTATCATGAAGGTCTAGACATGAGAATGGAGCTAGAAGACTTCTGGCTTCAGGCCTGAGGCTGCTGTCCTGCTACACCTAGTTTTTGTCCCATTCACTTTGTCAGATCTGATTCTGTATGTGCAAGGGCTGCTGAGTGCGAGTATGTGTGTCTCACTCTTCCCTTCTGTGTCCATGGCAGAGTTGGAGCTGACATTACAGTGCTGCGAGAGAGGGAGGTGGATTATGACAGTGATGTTCCAAGGAAGATAGCGGAGGTGCTCGTCCGAAAGGTGCCTGACAACCAGCAGGTAGGAACCTGTGACCTGGCTGTCTTGCCAGAGATGTGCAGCCCTCGTACAAGAAACTTACTTTTAGGATGGGAGTCCAAGCCCTAAAGGCAGTCTGCTCTAGATTGGCCCATAGCTGATGCTTTAAAGAGCTGCTAGAGGGAAGCTTTGAGGACAACGCTTCTTATCTCTGAGATTGTGGTTATGGCACATACCCGTAGGAGAGATTTCCTTGATCAGAGATGAGAATCTATTTCATTTCTGCAGCAACAGTTGTGATGCAACCCAGTGTGCAAACAAGGAAGAATTTAGACTTCCTGCTAATGTGTCATATCACAACACAGTAAAGTATATCACAGCTCCCAGACTATGATTTGCTACGAGCAAGAGCAGAATCTGAACAAAAGTATGCTGTGGTGTCTGTCTGTTGTGGAAGGAAACCCTAGGGCACATCCCTGCAGGTGTGCAGTGTTCATACAGACCCAATGGAGCAGCATGTAGGTTTAATGATTTCTTTGCTCTTTTTCTCCTAGTTCTTAGACCTGCGAGTAGCTGTGCTGGGTAATGTGGACTCAGGGAAGTCAACTCTGTTGGGTGTCCTAACACAAGGAGAGCTGGACAATGGCCGGGGCCGAGCACGTCTCAACCTCTTCCGACATCTCCATGAAATCCAGTCAGGAAGAACATCAAGCATCAGTTTTGAGATTCTCGGTTTCAACAGCAAAGGAG